TCTGCATTAAGGGCAACAAATGCTAGCTAGTTTTTTATGGCTTACACCTTTCTGAGGTCATCAGCCTCCTGATTATGGTGGGGGGAGGGATTCCTCAGTGGCTATGAGCAGCCACCTGGTACACTGTTAGTGGCTCTGTTTTACTTTGCATTTTTTAAATAATTCTTTTAAAAAATATGAGTTGCTCCTGTAATGGTTGACCAAGCACTTACCAGTGATATTTTTTCCCACAGAGCTATCCACAGGCTTAAACCTCTGAGATAGCCCAACTGTTTATGCAGATGGTCAGTGGTCATTCTTTGTGAGTCACCACCATGTATGCTGCTCTCAACTTCCCTTCTCTCTCCAGCCAGATCAGATCTGTGTTCATTTTCATTGCCACTGTGACCCATTCCTGTTTTGTACCTCTTCTAGTGTCTCAATGTACCAAGGATCTTCAGGGATGGGCGATATCCCTTCTAGCACCTTGTCTGGCATAGCTGTTGGGTCAGTCACTGGGTGGTTCAGGCCCAACATTACCTGGCATTTGTCACAGGACTGGCAGATAAGATACTGTGCTGTTCTAAGTGCATATGCCACTTCTGTAGTGTGATTTTGTGCCATGGCTTGGTCAACAGACCCTCACTCTGCCCTCACTGGATATCCCCAGTGATGGACTCCACTTACTGCATAGCTAGCAATTGCTGTTCTGGTGCCATATATCGAGCTTCTTCCCCTTCTGTGCTTGGGACCAGAATCCCTTTGGAACTATTTAGGTTGTTTCTGCTGTTGTCCCCAGCTGTAGTCCTCAGGGCTTCTAGTGACCTCTAAAATAAATGGACACTAGGCCACCTGGACACGATTGCTTAGCCTGCCCCACAAGAACCTCAGTCTGCTCAAAAGCCTCTTGAGCCCTGTTGTCCAATCCCACACAGTCCCACTTTTAATTAGATTACATATGGGCCAGGTCACTTGGGCAAGGTGGGGATAAAATGTGCCAGTGCACAGTAGTCCCCACTGCACCTGCTTAACATCCACTGGCAGAGGCTGCTGTAAAATTTTCTCCAGGACCTTGTCGGATATCATGAATGTCTTACCCACCCTAAGACTTCCCAAACTTTTGCTGAGCCAGGCTCTTGCACCTTGGGGCACCGATCTCCCATCCCCATCCCTTCCGGTGTGCAGTACACCTCCAGATGTTTTCCTGTGACACTCTCAGAGTTTATCACGACATCCAGGTATGGAAGGAACGTTTTCATAGTGGGTTGGCAGGATAACAGCACAAGGTCCAGAGCCCCCATCCCATGGCAAATGTAGGTCGCCTTAGGGGAGTACTCTGAGGGTCATCTCTGTCTGTTCCAAGTGAATGAAAACTGGTCCTGGGGCTCACTGGCTAAATGAATACTAATGAGAGCATTAGCAAGATCTAAAGCAGAGGGATGGGGTCCCACCCCCATCTCAGAGTTCAGTCGGAGGGGGTGGCAGTGTTGGGTACAGCAGCATGGACGGAGGCACTGCCCCATTCCTCTCTCTGTAATCGTTATTCTCCACGAGCTGTCCAGCTTCTTCCCAGCCATGCCTGACTATTAAAGGGACTTTAATAGGGTGGGATGAATGATTTCTGCCTCTTCCAGTGTGTTGATGGTGGCTGTGATTTCTTTGTATCCCTGATATATGTGAGGCAGGCAGTCTCGCTGGTCCCACTTAGCCCAGCTGTGTGTCGCTGCCTTTGCCACTTGCACCCTCAGGTGGAATTCTCTGACTGGTGTGCGGGGTGTACCCCAGAAGCACATCCACCCCCATATGACAAACAGTGTATTCCTGGCAGGAAAGGGAGAGTCACCCGCCCTGAGTCTTCTTCACTTGCACTCCCGTTTCCATTTAGGAACAATCCTTTAAGACAAAACCTTATTTTAACCTATAAGAACTTTTTTTAGCCAGAAACTGTTTTCTTACTTTAACTTTGTTTTTTACATTTTTAAATTTCCTACTCACTGTTTTTTTTTCTTAACATAATACTTTAAAGATCTAGTCACAAAACAGAGCAACATAACAAAACAAATTTACCAGTTATCAAGAGAGCTGAACCCAAGCAACATTTATGAAACAAAGCGAGGTCACTAGTCCATATATAACTAAATTACAAGGTTCTTACTTTCTACAGGTCTTATGCAAACATTTTTGCTTAGATTTCAAAAGGACTCTTACATTTTTTTTCCTTTGGTATCACATGAGTATAAGAGTTACTGAATGTTACATTTCAGCTAGGGCAGGATAAAATAACACAACTTCCAAATGACCTTGAACAGCAAAACCATCTTAGTACGAGCAAGAAAAAAAGGAGAAGGGAGAAACTACACGGAGAGCCCAAAGTCTTTACTTGTTAACCTGTAATTGCAGTTCAGGACACCAAGGGCTCCTGTTCCCCTGCAGAACTGAGGGAAAAGCAATTCCAGTAGCGTGGGTTGGACAGGAGACTCACTGTTGGGTCCAGTGGCAGCAAGCTGGGCCAATAGCACTTGAATTCTCCCAAGTAAACATGGTCTTATCCAGCCTCGTGTTGGAGACCAGCCATGAACCCTGTACTGGGATATAATGGAGGTTGCACAGCCTCTCCATGGTAGAAGTTTGCACAGCCTCTTCTACCATATTTGACCTTTGTTCTCCCATCTCCTTGAAGAATACAACCTGCTGTGTCTGCATACCAGCCCCCGATGCAAAACTAGATAAAGTACCAGAAATGTTAGGAGACTCCCCGATGCCAGATTAATCAATACCTTCGATAAGGTGTCCTGTGTGCCTTGATGATCCCAGAACTGATGTGTTGTAATTAAGCTTCATTAGCCTTAGGAAAATTAGCCCAACCAAACCTCATTCCTTTTACCTTGCATCAAGAATTGTTAAAGCATGATTTTTACTTGGGTCTTTTCCTTGTACTGACCTATAAAATAAACACTCTGGCTTTCCCATCAGGAACGTGCAGCCCTCCCGTCCCCAGCTTTTCTGTTATGTCTGTATGTCTGTGTGTGTCTTATTTCTCATTCCCTGCTGCTCTTAGGTTCATGAAGCATACCCACGCAGGTCGCGGGCAGCCTAGTAATTGGGCATCCAAGGCTGCCTCCATTTCCCCAGGGCCCCCCAGGCTAAGCCATAAGGGGCACCTTTGACATCTGCCTGAGTCAAGCAGCTCCAAAGCAAACTATTCCCTAGTGACACTGATTTCCTGTGCAGGATCACTATTAATACCTCCATCAGCATGCTGAGTCATGGATTTCCCCTTTCTGGGCATCAGGGACTGGGCTTGAGGGACATTGGCTAGACTTCTTTTTGTGGTATTGGGATTTGAACTCAGGGCCTTCAGACTGCTAGACAGGCGCTCTATGACTTCAACCATGTCCCCAGCCTATCTATTCTCATCTTCACATTTATCTACTTCTCCCGCCACATCAAAGACTAAGGTGGAGGATGCCTTTCCCATAACCTTTTCCAACTGCAGTTTCTCCTTGAAGGAAGCAATTTTCCTATGGGCGGATAGCCCACCTTCAGTTGCATATTTCACAGCTCATATTAACATAGCTTCTGCAGTTCTTCACACATGTGCTACTTTTGGGGATGCAGTGGGGTTACCCCCAAGGTTGCTCCCCTCTGACTCATCTTTCAGTCCATCAGGTCCCTGTTAGGGTACCAAGTGTGGCATGAGTTTCCTTGGAAGGCCTAAAGAGTCACGTGGCTCCAAACTGGGATGACACACAATGCCCAAACAATGACTCAAACGAGTTCAGCATGAATGAATAAAATGAGTTTTGGAAAGGTTTACTTCCAGAACAGAGGATAATTACAGAGGACTATATTACCTGGCATGGCCTGTAACTCCTCAACAGCTGTCGCCTGTAACTCTCCTGACCCCTCAGAAGCTACCAAGTCCTGTATACCAAACTCTTCACTTATGTGGCTTTAAATCTATAGCAGAGATCTGGACCAGAGCAGCAGCTAAGTTCAGAAACAGCACAAGTAACTACAGCTCAAATATAAGACAGAGACCCTGGGGAGTTACACGCTTATGCTTGCTCCACCCTTGTTTTTATCAGGGCTCCTGCTGACCTTGGCTGACACTATCTGGCCATGGGAAAGAGGGCTTGTTGTGCTGCAGTCTGGCATGGAGAACTAAGTGATGGTTTACTGCAACATGAAGTCCCTCTGGCCAGGAGTCAGAGGACTAGTTACACTATAGCCGCGCCAACCAATGCACTCTGATTTAAACCAGCCTGACTGATAGGAGTTGGATAGAGACATGCCACTTCTCTGTGCCCACAGGGAGCAACAAGTGATCACCGCTTGTGTGGACGAGGGAGGGCACAGCACTCGCTTGGAAAGAACCAAGTCTCATGTTCTGAGCTCTGACCACTGCCCTGCACAGTGAGCTGACAGTTACCCAGATGAAAACATCAGCTTGTGTTGGGTCTTTTCTGCCAAAGGATTTAATCAGAAACCACCGCTGCTGCAAATGTTAGTCTCACTAACTCGCTTCCTATACACTGATAAGTTTCTATTAAGAACAAAAGCTTGTTATCCTCAGCTGGATGGGGCAAGAATTCCGCTAGATTCCCTGGTTCCAGAGCTGATAACCAAAAATGGTTACTGCTTCCTTGAACTTTTAGACTTCTTTGTTCCCAAAGCCCCCTCCCAACCTGGCCCCTTTCTGATTACCCAACCGCATAGACTGTGAACTCCCAACCTGCCCAATCCAGGGGCAGGGGAGGGACAACATGGTGTTAGATAAAAACCCTGCGGACATCCCCCTGGTGTGCACCCTTCTGCAGAAGTAAATTTTGCCTTGCCTATTGACTTCAAGTACTGTTGTCTCTCTCGTGACACCCCAATATCATAAAAATATTTCTAACACACCAGACCAGCACACATCTTCAACAAGACGCGTGTGTTCCACACATAAGCTAGATACCATGTGACAAGCAGGTGTGTGCTCCATGAGTAAGCCAGATCACAGCAATGCTTCAGAGGTCAGTTTTCACTTTATTCAGCAGTGTACGCTGACAATGGGATGGTTCTTCCACTAGGACTGTTGGGTTAGGCTCTGAGGGGTTATAACAGAGGAGGGGACACCAAAGGACAGGACCACAGGACAGCGACTGGTCACAAAGAGGGCATCATGGAATAAGAAGCCCCTGAATTTTCTCATTTCCTTTCTGAATATCCTAAGTGTGCATCACCTGATACAGAAGGCAAAGACAAGTAGCCCTGTGTGACAGCCAGTACTCCCTATAGAGCTGGTGCTTTGGGATGCTGGCTGCTTTTCTAGAGGTGAAGTCACACTAGCCACCACTGAGCACCTCCCCGGGTGTTGGTCAGCTGGCCCTGCTAAGCCACCAGCACTGAACATTTCCAGCTGTTCAGTACAGGCTAGTTCTAGCTGTCTGACAGCTGGACCTGCAGTGTCTGTTCTTGGAAGTCTGTGCAGACAAGGAAAAGTGGGGGAGGAACTTTGATTTTTCCCAAGAAAACCAGAAGAAGGCAGAGGCCAGGACTCCTTCTGGTCAGACTCAGGCCTCCACAGGGAGCTGGCTTCTCAGTCCTTCAGCTGAGACACCTCATGCAGATATGCGGCCAGCATCTTGGTTCCTTCTATGTAGTTATGCCTAGTGAAAGAACAGATCACCTGTCAGCTGCTGGCAAGGAGTCAGCACTCAGGTATGTAGGGATTCTTCCCCAGGAAGGCTGCATTTCTTCTACAGAGCTTCCCCGTCCCAGCCTGGAGTCCTGCTTGCCTTTAGAATTCGGCCACCTTGTTCTCAAGTGCAGGTTCAGTCCGACTGCCTCTCTCCCCCAACCAATCCTGACCTAGTCTAGGAATGGGTTCATCTCACCCAGGGCCCTGGTTGTGAATGGCTCACCTTCATCTAGGTCCCATCATTGTTTCTGAAGGCCAAGCCTCCACCTCTGCTTCCCCAACCCCTCATGGAGGGTCTTTGCTCTGTCCTTATCTCACATGTCCATCCTGTTTACCCCAGGATGGGGCCTTGCTTCTCGTCTTCCTTAGCAGCTCCAGGGCTCAGATGCTGCTCCCTGTGCCCACCTGCCCAGTTCTCTCCTCACTGCACTAACCAGAGGCTATCTCCTTCCCACAGGCTGCAGGAATGCCAGTATACCGTCTCATTGTAAGCTGTAAAAGGAGCTTAAGCAGATAGCAAAGCAGAGAGGGTTTTAGGAGTGGTACATAATGAAAGTGATGAACACAGAACACTGGTTGAACCTTGATTCCATAAACCACCACCAGCAAGCCTGGTCCCTACCTCATGTGGGAAGTTTTCACAATCAAATACAACTGGAGGTGGAATGGTCACAGAGCTGCTGCCTCCCACTTGCTTTTCTTAGAAGTAGGGCAGCTGCGCTGGGTAGGTGGAGATGTTCGGTGCTGGGGGCTTAACACAAACAGATGATCAAAGCCCTGGAGTCTCACCTGTTCAGCTTTTCATTCTGAGAGTGGGCACCATCATCTGCCGACCCCACTGGTAACAGCATGACATTCCTGCCTGTGGCCTCCTGAAAGGTCAAGGTCACAGGAATGCTGCCACCTTCCCTGGTCAAGTCTGGTTCAACACCAAAGACTAGAGAAAGTGGGATAAAAGAAATGATGAGCTTTGAGCCAGATGTAGTGCTGCATACCTATAGTCCCAGTTACTTGGAGGCAGAGATTGGGAAGATCACGGTTGAGTACAGTCTGGGCAAAAAATTAGTGAGATCCTCATTTCAACCAACAGCTGGGCCTGATGGTGCTTGCCTGTGACCCTAGCTTCTTGGAGGCATATGTAGGAGGACTGAGGTCTGAGGCTGGCCCTGGGAAAAAATCAATACCCTAGCTGAAAAATAACTAAAGCAAAAAAGGGTTGGGGGCATGGCTTAAGTTGTACAGTACCTATCTAGCAAGCATGAGGTCCTGAGTTCAAACACTAGTACCACCAAAAAAGAAAAATAGAAACGATGAACTTTGGGGCTTGGAGGCCAGAGATCCATCACAGGCCACCACCCAGCAATACTGAGTCAGACCAACATGTCCTGACGCAGTCAGCTGGGGGCACAGGCCCATCCCACATCCTGGCCAGAGCACCATAGACAGGCAATGCACAGGGTCCTCAGACATGCTCAGGGCCCTGTCACCTGTCCCCAAAGAGCATCCAACCTGTTTTCATCGCTCTTCTCCCAGCCATGTAATGAGGGTGATTGAAGTCAGACACCCAGGGCTTCCCACCATGGCCCATGTACACCTTAAAGCTGTTGGGGCTGTGCAGCTCAGCAAACTTCTCCGTCAAGTAGCTTGTAACCTACGTCATAAACAGAAGAGACACGTTATTTTGTAAGTCTGACATCTGACACAATGGGAGTGACCAATGGGCTACAAAGAGTCTTCTATGGCGAGTCTGCTTTGAAGGGCCTATGAGTCTACAATGGGCCTCATTTTCTGCTGCTGAAAAGTGACCTGCTTAACATGATAGCAGCAAAAGGGACTTAAGAAGCAAAACCCAGTTATTTGAAAGTAAAAGGCAATGTTTTAATTTTAAGCAATTCAACCTTTATATAGCAGTTCTAAATGATGATAATACTTACAGATTAAGTTTAAAAACAATGTTCTCTGATTTGCTTTAGGCTATGGGCAGGATATTTTGTGTCCATCCAAAATTCTTAGGTTGGCACTTTAAACTCCACTAAGTTTGGAGGCTAGGGCCCTTGGAAGTAGTTATGGTTAAATGAATGACTAGGGCAAGGCCCTGATTGAACAGGATGAGTGTCTTTGTAAGGGGAGACACCAGAGAACCTGTGCACACTCTCCATCGTGGGCGCACACAGCAGAGGGCACCAACTGCAAGCCAGGAGTGGACCCTACCAGACGCCATCTGCTGGCACCTTGATCTTGGACTTTCCAGCTTCCAAAAACGAGAAGAAATAAATTTCTAACATTTAGGTCACCTAGTCTGTGACAGGCAGACTAAAAGACTAATGAACATTTAGAAAATGATCACAAGCTAAATTCCATCTGGATATAAAATAGACCCAGAAGCTGACACAGGGATATGGCCTCAAGAAGAAATCTCAGTTCTCATATGAAAAGCAGGCCTCAGAGTTCTCTTTCTGGAAGCAAATACACAGCTTCCCTCTTCATGAAACCTCCCTGCCCGGTATGGACACACACATGACTGCACGATGAGTCCCACTGACCCTCTGCTTCTGGGACCCTCCCTCTGTTCCTTACTGCCTAAGAGAGGTGGTCCCTGGACTCTTACATGACATTTGGCCCAAAGTCACCATCTAACCCAAATCCTTGGGGTGATGTCAGAGTTCAGACTTCAGCATACCTCTGTAGTAATGAAGGTCACTTAGGTGTGACTCTTGTTCATATGGCCTTCACCTCTGAGAAATCCTGTACTGCTTATTCTAGCAAGTACTAGGTAGACAGGAATACTGTTTCTGCCCTACTGAAAACCTCTGTTCCCCAAAGCCTGTGACTACACCATAGCCTTTGCCCACTTTCCCCACCCCCACCTGCACCCCATGCCCCACTTGCCTGCTCACTGACAACTTCAGGGATCATGTCTGGCACAAGCCTGATGGAGAATTTGCCAATCACCTTCCTAGGAATCACAGTCTTGGCCCCCGACCCAGAGAAGGCACCTTCGATGCCATGGAGGGAGAGGGATGGGTACCGCCACCGGTGCATCAGGATGTCTTTCTGCAGAATCACAACAGAGGGTACAGCTTAGCCTGTCTGCTCACCGAGGAGATAGGATGTTGACTGAGCAGCCTGCTGCTCCCAAGACAGGACCCAGCCAGGGTGCTGACAGCACCAGAAGGAGGTACCACAGGTAGGGACCCACATGGCTGGGCTAGTTAGAGCCCACCCAGTATGCTGCACCTGCTGCTACATTCCCAAAGGACGGCTATGCTGTCTCATGAGCTGATGCTGACTATGCCACTGGGACGACATGCTCTGACCCTGCTGCCTCCCAGCTCCCCCACAAGCTCAAATTGGCCTGTCTCTACTGGCCAACCAGTGCCTCCTACAGGACTCTCGGATCAGACTCCCCCAGGCCTGCTGGCCCTACTCCCCGGCAAACCCATGGCACTTGGCCTGGCAGCTCCTTCTGCAGTGCTTTGCTGCTTTGTCTCTGGAGAAGAGGAAACTCAAAGGCCAAGCCTGGCCTACTCCTTTTGCGTTCCAGGGCCTAGAAGCAGAGCCCACTGCTGGATTGATTAATGGTGGCTACATGGAAGGTACTGGATTGACATCCACAATTCATAAGACAGAAGTAAACTAATTAGGAGAAAAGTCACCACAGACTCTGGACAAACGGCTCTCACCTTCGCACTTGGCCCTTTCAGGATAACTGAAACTAATCTCTAGGCTAAAGAAACCACTCTACAAACCGAAATAAAGCCAGAGACGCCTGCTGGCAGGAGTGCAGGAGCGCCCTTTACTGTCTCTGCGTATCTCCTCTGTGCTCAAAAGTGGACTGTGCTACTCAGGAATCCTCACCGCTCCCAGCCTGCCACACCCTGCTTTCTGGATGTCTGTGCTATCTGAGAACTCATGCACACATTTCCTGCTAGGAGGAGACTCAGCCTAGGACGTGAGCGAGCCCTGGCAGACTGCACAGGGTGGGTCCTGGGTGGTACCTTGCAGCCGTGCAGAAGGGTCTTAGCCCCCACATCCCTGGCGTACTCCTCCATGTCAAAGTCGATGCAGTCATACAGCCCCTGCTCCTCGTCAGTCACAGGCGCCACGGCCTCATTGATGCCAGGGATGAGGATTTCCCCTTTCCTGCCTGTCAGAGAGCCTGAGGGAAGCGCAGAGGGTGCAACGTTCAGATGAGGCAGCAGAAGCAGCTTCCCAGCTGTACCAACTCCAGGAAGTCAGACCTGGGGAGATCTGCAGCTCACACTCCCAGCCACATGGGCGCAGGAGGCAGGAGCACAGAGAATGGCTTCAGTAGTGACATTCTTGAGCACAAGCTACCGCTCCAAGTACCTTATGCCAGGAAATCATTTAATTTTCACAACAGCCATTATTCCCATTTTTCAGATGAAGAGATGGAAGACAGGTGGAATGCGTAAGGTGCCCTTGGTCATGCCAGCATGCTAACCAAGCAGCCCACTGCAAGCAGGCTCACTCTAAAACCCCATGCTACCCAGTGTGTCTTTTCCATGTGCATTCCACAAGAAACTAGCTGTCCCAGGTGGAGGGGGAATCTAGAAATGGGGCAGAGCAGATCTCAGCCTCAGACATGATGCTACCTCACCTGTGGCAGGTCCGGCCCCCAGGGGAAGAAAAGGAGGCTGGCAGAACTACATGGGAAGGCACAGCCCCATTCCGTCTTACACTAGCAAGATGCTGGGAACAGGAAGCTGTGGTGGTTCTGCTTCACCAAGCAGGGAACCTTGTGTGGCCAGTTTAACAGCAAACACATGCCTCCCAGAAATGAAAGGTACAGTGGCCAGGGGAAGGAAAGCATCCTGAGGTTCTAGAACACAGGTTGGACAGCATCTGGGGTGAACCTGTGGGCTTTGGGAGGCAGCGTCAGGCTTCAACAGGTAGTGACAAAGTATGGGATGGTCCCAGGCAGAGCAGGAGGGAACGGAGGCAGAAATGAAGCATGGCAGTCTTTAAAGAAAACAGTGAGGGAGGGGAAACTTGTTAGAATTGGAGACCAGTTGGCTTGTGAAGAACACTGAGATGTACCAAATGCTGAGGAAAGACAGCCTGGAAATAATGCCTGCCTACTTCCCCAAGCCACACAGTACTGACAGAGCGAACACCAGCTCACCCATCAGGAAAATGAGATCCGTCATGGCCTCATGCACCGAGCCACCATACACCCCAGAATGGAGGTCCTTGTCACTGCATTCCACCTGGGCAGAAACAAAGGCCACATTATTTGGCCACTTAGTGGGAGCTTATTTTTATCATACACTGAACAAAGAACATTCATAAGACCTAACAATTTTCCAAATCAAAATCTCCCTCAAGGAGCAAAGCCAGGAGCTTCCCAACTAAAAAATTCAGAGAGCAAAAACACGTGTGGATGTGCTGACCATTGCACTAGGATGCCAACTAAAGGTGCTCTGGGAATGCTGGCCACAGGTGATGGACACTGCAGGGTAACCTCTCCAGTACTCAGAGCCTTTTCCAGAGGAAGGCAGGCCCTGCTGTCCTTTCACAAACCCTGCCCCAATCTTCTAAGAGAGCCATACACAATGTGAACCATGACCAATAAACCTCAGGACCTGGGTTCAGATTCATCCCATAACTAACTAGTCGTGTACCTAAGGAGGCAGCTAAGTGCTATGTACCCAGTCCCCACCTGTAAGGGGAACAGGAAACATGCTCACTTACAGCACCAGGTCACTTGTAACATGCAGAATGTGCCATGCCAGGTGAGTGTGTAGTGCAGCGATGGCCCTGATTTCTGCCCTGTTCAGGTGATAAAGACCTGTATAGACAGGACTGTCTCATTACCTAGCACCTGGGCAGGAGGGACCATCACCCTTATCTGAGAGGTAATTTCCGCCCATGAGTGGCAGAAGTCTCTGCTGTCCTGCGTGATTTCTCCTTATCTGGTGGCAGGGCTCTGTTCTCTCAAGTCATGGGATGAGAGCTTAGGTGCTGAAGTGTGAGCACGTTCACTTTTAAAGGGAAGGGTTCCTCAAATGTTTGTATATGTCTCGGTCTTCTGAGATGGACTGGCATTTGATTTCTTTTTAACTGCTCTAAGGCAACATTACAAACAATACTGTCCTAGTTTGACATCACTATGACACTGACTTCTGACCTCAGAAGTACACTGCCGTGCTTAGGGTATTAGGAAGGTTTATGGAACCTAAGACACAGGCACTGGGCCAGCTCTGAGCTGCTCTTTCACTCGTGACTGATGTCTTGGTACTCGCCTCCTGCAGAGCACCGAGGAACAAGCAGGCTTAGGCATTAGCGAGAAATGAAGGGAGGCTGCAGAAAGCAGCACCATACCTCAATGAAAAAGTAGCAGATACCCCTGAGGCCGTACGTGATACAAGGCTTCTTCTTCCCCAGCCAGTAATTGTCAGAAATGCAGATGTAATCCACATCTTTAAAGAACTTGTCTTTCTGAGCAAAAATCAGCTCGTCCAGGCCTTCGGAGCCAGACTCCTCCATGCCTTCCAGGCAGAACTGCACGTTGACAGGAACCTCCTGTGAGAGAGACAGCAACAGGACATTCAGTTTTCCTACTTTCCTTCCAAAGTAACACATGGGAAACCACCACTGCTTTGAAACTGTAAATTTCAAATATCTGACCTCCTCCTGACCAGTCAGAGGTAGGTACTGGCCTGCGGGGGCCCAGATTCGGAAGCAAAGGCCCTCTGCACCATGCCAGGGCTGCACCCCTCCTAGGATGACCCTATCAGGAACACAAAGTAAGTGCACGCAGAGAATGAATGAGGAGCTCCAGGAAGCCAGAGCTGCTCCTTCTGTGACAGAGGGACAAAGGACATAGGCTTGAAGAATAGTACTGAGTCCTCCCTGTCACAGAGACAGTCACTGTTAACGTAGGGCAAGTGAGTGAGACTTCTCCTGTGCTGAGCGGGCCTCCTGCACTGTCAGCATCACTCTGTACAGAAGAGGTGCTTTTTCCTAAGGAGCTCAAAGTAACTGCAAGCAGTGACATCATGGTGTCTGGATCATGTTTTCTGAACAATTTTCCAGGTCTAGCTTCAGAGGGTGAGGCAGGTGACCCATGCACAGATAAGAAAGGGATGCTACATGAGTCAGGTGACTAGCCAGAGGCTACACGGGGTACAGAGCAACAGGGCCAAAACATAGACTCAAGTCTAGAAAGTCCTGGTTCAAACCCACGGTTGACTGCATTGTTCACTAGATGCAACCCTCCTACCCCTCCAGTCACTAAGCATGCCCCATTCCTGCTCTCCTTCTTCTCTTCTCAAGGACATGGACATACCGAAAAGGCATACATGGAGCTACTTGGATGGCTCTGTCCTGTACACAGCCACCCCTCACCTCCATGGGCCCCAGACCCTGAGGCACCTTTACCTCAAGGCTAAGGGCTCTGTGGGGCCCTGGAGGGGATGAGGCGTCCTGGTTTCTGCATCTACCACGCAGGCTGTCCGTAGGCAGTTGGTTAACTAACCAATTTTTCTCTTCCGTGAAAAATGATCCCTGGATCAAGAGGGTCTGAAACCCTTTTCAGATCTCTTCTATTATTTCATCAAGACACAAGATAAAAGCCAGATGCAAAACCTATCTATATAGCATTATCACAACTAAGTTAAAAGCCATCAAAAAGCTTGGTAGGTAACAAAATATTAATAGGTATTTTGAGGGTTTCTAGCAATTTTTTTTTCTTTCAACTTTTCTGCATCTTATCAACTTTGAATAATGAGTGGATATTTCATAGCTGAGAAAAATACTTTTTAAAAATAAAATCTATTTTTAGAAGGATATAAATCACACAGACAGAATGAAGAATTTGCCCAACATCCTAAGGCCGGTTACATCCTGGCAAGTGGCCACATTCACAAGGATGGTCAATGACTAGGAGTTCATGTCTGGGTTAGGGGTTTAACTCTGTAACTCAGTTGGACAGTTTGGGAGCAGTTAGCCATGAATGACAGCAATATGCAAAGGTTCTTCAAGGTCTCTGAGACAGAAATACCTCAAAGAAACCTTCCAACCTGTAAGTCTCTTAAATTGCCACTCCCCTAAAGCTTAATCCTTTTCTCACTCTATAGTAAACCACCCCAGGCATCAGATGGACCTGGGGCAGGGAATTCCACACAGGTAATCTCTTTAATTAAGCAAGACAAAGACCCAGATCCATAGGTTGCATTCTAGGATCAGATGGACCTGGGGCTGGGAATTCCTCAGTAAGTACTCCAGCTCCAAATGCTGATCCATCCGTCCTTTTCATCCTAGAGATGACTGCTTTCAGTCTATTCAAAGTGTTCTCTTTTCCTAACAAACTTCGCTATCCCTCTCACTGTATTTTCCTGTCTTGCCGGAATTACTCTCTCGCCAGATGCAAGGGCCAAAGACCAAGGAGGACAGCTGTGCTGACTTTCTGGTATAGCACTTGCCTGGCATGCCTGACAGCCTAGGTTTCATCCCCAGCATGTGCCAAAAAAAGAAAAGGAGAGGAAGGAAATTCAAATTCCATGTGTTAGAAGTAATCTTGCTGAGAAGTCAGTGGTATGACCTTTGAGCATTTGTAAAACAATTAAACTTTTAACATTTTCTAGAGTTGGAAAGGAAACAGTTGTGATCTTAAGTCTGAGTCACCTGTGCCAAGGTTGGGGATGCTTGGTTTCTCCTACTGTAATCTTAACAGTATTTATTGCTCAGGTAGGACTAGGTGAATTGGACGAATCTAAGGGGACATACCTGACCAGTTTTCTGAAATGCTTCTAGGGCATTCATCCAGCCGGCCACTGGCCCCTTATCGTCAGTTGAGCCTCTCCCATACAATTTGCCTAGAATGACAATCAGCAAATTCAGTTATGGCTACAGCAAACATCTGATAATTCTTTAGCACAACCACACCGGGAGAGGTGGGGAAAGGGTGTTCCCTCTTCAGCCAGAAGCCTCCATCCACTCCTATTGCTGGAATTCACAGGGGATTTCCCACAATCAAAGAGGCAGTCGTGGTGCCCACACGACCTCTTCACTTTACAGCATGGTGACAGCTAGCTTGTGATAAGGGCAAGAACTCACAGAGCAATTCCAGGCAACATCCACCAGTTGGGTTAGCTCATCAAAATCTAGTTACTGTAAGCAACAACCTGTGGCAACACAGGTGGGAAGTATGGCACTTTGGAAGCATATGCGCCATTGTCACAAAACACCACAAACCTCACCCTCTCCTCTGGATATAGAAGAGGGCTTGCATTTTTATTATTTCCTTCTTTCTTTTGTTGTCATTTAAAACTACAGGACATGACACTACTTCAGATCAGAGGCATCAGTTCTGAGTCTGCTGGGAGGTGCCAGGTATAGAGAGATACCTAGGGGACACTTTGGGAGCAAGTCTGAAGAGGTGTGGAGGAGTAACAGCTTGGAAGAGGGGCAGGACTCAGCAACATAACAAGTGCTGGGAGGCCTTAGTAGGGTAGGAGCAGAGGCTTGGAAGGAGCTGGGGAGGGCAAGGGACTAGGACAGGAAAAAGTAGTTTCTGGTGTAGGCGGCTGGAGGACTGTGCCTTTCACATAAAAGTGAGAGGTGGGCTGTGGAGGGAAGACGATGGTGAGGGAACTGCCATAAAGACCCATGGGCTTGACCCTCATGAGGAACCAAGTGCACACAGAAGGCTCACTCAACAACTAACTACGTGAGCCATCACACCGTGAAGAGAACAAGTGCCATTTCAGGAAAGATGCTAATTTCAGTGAAATGACTCTTCTGTGGTACTGGGGCTTGAACTCAGGGCCTACACCTTGAGCCACTCCACCAGCCCTTTTTTGTGATGGGTTTTTTCGATATAGGGTCTCAAGAACTATTTGCCTGGGCTGGCTTTGAACTTCGATCCTCCTGATCTCTGCCTCCTGAGTAGCTGAGATTACAGGTGTGGGCCACTGGAGCCTGGCGTCTTTCTGTTTTGCAGTCAGGAACACAGTCCACACTAGCCAAGGAAGGTCTGAAGTTAGATCATATGCCCAGTCAGACAAAAGGGTCTGGAACTCAGTCCTGAGGGGCAAGGCTTGAAGGCAGGGGCTTGTTTTTGGTCAGGGACTACTGTAGATAGAATCAGTGAGAATTCAGAAGTGAAAGCAGAGCACCTTCACGTCAGGAGGGTGGTGGAAGATGGACCAGTCTCCAGAGGTCCTGGAGGAGGGGCTGAGGAAAAGACTGCTGTCCTCCCAATGCCCCAGAACAGTGCAGCAGCAGCTCTAAATCAGGGGGAAGCACTAGGCAACAGACTTTGGAGGACAAAGGGCCTCAATTTAGAATGTGTGTCAGGAGCAAAAGAAAGCCCAGTAGGCCCATGCCAGAAGGACTCACTTCCATGAGAAAAGGAAAGCCCTTGGAGCTTTCAACGACCGAGGTACGTGTCAGAAACTTCCAGAACCCAATCTCTAGCTAAAGTTAAAAAAATATATACTGACCGAGTATGGTGGTGCACCTCTATAATCCCAACACTTGGGAGTTGAGGAAGGAGGACTGAAAGTTCCAGGCCAGGAACTTTCATAGTGAGACCCTGTCTCAAAAAAAAAGACCTACATAGTGAGATCCTGTCTGTCACCAACCAAAACAAAACAAACCCCCAAAACCCAATCTATATTGGATATTATAATAGAAATGTTTTCGCAATGTTAAAAGTGAGACTATTCCAGCCAGGCGTCGGTGGCTCATGCCTGAAATCCTAGCTACTCAGGAGGCAGAGATCAGGAGGATCGCAGATGGAGGCCAGTCTGACAAAGAATTCTTGAGACCATATCTCAAAAATACCCAATGCAAAAAGGGCTAGCAGAGGGGCTCAAGTGGAGAGTGCCTGCTTAGCGAGTGTGAGACCCTGAGTTCAAGCTCCAGTACCAAAATAAGTGAGACTTTTCCTCTGGAACAGCCAACAGGCGCTGGGATGCACCATCCTCACCATCTCGCTCCACCAGGGTGAAGGGCTCACTATCCCAGCCATCCTCCAGGGCCGCAGGTTGCACATCCAAATGCCCATAAACGCACACCGTTTTCTTCTGGGGGTCACTGCCCAACTTGCCCAGCAGAATGGGAGGAAGTGGTATCTCCGAGCCATCAGGGAGCTGGCAGGAGAGCAATGGAGAACAGCCTCGTTAATAAAATCAGAATTTACAGCAGCCATTATTAAATATGCCTGGTGCTTTTTTATCTTTGTCATCAATCAACCTCTGCTGTACAGTTTAAGCTCATACTGCGCAGCAGAGTCACTAATAAGATTTTACTTTCTTGGAATCTGAAGTGCCTACCTGAATTTCATCTACCAACTAGTTTGGTAAATTTTTAAAGGCAAAACATTATGCAGCCTGAGTTTGGGAGGCAATTTAATTATTTTCTAAAAAGAAGGCTAAACACAACTACAATCTTAAATGGAAAAATACCTTTTTGAAATTCTGTTTGTAGACGACTGTTATACACAGGATGGACCACAAACTAAGACATAAAGACACAATTCACTTTATACCACACTAAAGATGGTACTCCTTCTCAGCTTTGTCCCAAGGCCCTTTCCGTCATCCATCCTCTGATAAGGATGGGTGACAGGACAGTTGTCACAGAATTCTCTCTGTCTAGAGGAGAAATGCAGGCAAATCAGTCAGATCTTCTCCAACCTTCCCATCAGGTCAGTCAGTGATAGAGTGCTGGCCCAGCACATGGAAGGCCCTGGGTTCCATCTCCAGCACATTCCCCAAAAAACACGAGCCTGGACATATTCTGGCTTCTCATTCAAGTGGTAATTCCCATACAAATTAAACTGATAATGAAGCTAAACTAACAATTTACAAAGAAGAGGTAAAATCAGCAGCAAATGAAAATGACAACCAGATAAGAACAATGCTGGTGATGGGCTGAGCAACTGTTTGACCCCCAAACTCCAGGGCTCCTGAGCATTGAGTGTGTCACATGGCAGGGAACTCAGTAGGTGGTGGAATTCTTGTGAGGATGCAGGCAGGACTTTTTTCTCTGTGAAGTTTTCTTATAAATACCCAAGCAACTCTTGTAATCCAACAGCTACTATGTACAGTGGGTGGGCCTGACATCTCTCACCCACTTGAGCTGCACTCAGTGCGGGTTTGCATGTCAGATCTCCTGAGGCACTGGGGCAAAGAATCCCTCCTCACACAATGCCTTTCCCCGTACAATGACTATATCCTAAAAAAAAAAAAAAAAAAAAGAATCACTCCTCCTCAGACTTCCGTCCTGGTCACACAGGACAAATGGCAGTCACAGCCAGCTTTCAGCTGGCCTGAGCAGAAAAATGATTTCTAAATGAAAACAAATTTCCTGTAAATAAATTTCTATTCAACGATGCCTAAAATATTGAAATATTTTAACATTTTCTAAGAAGCTGATGGGACCTATATTGTTCAGACCTGATGGTTCTGAAATTCTCCAGGACCTGAACCTCCAGCCTCAACTTTCCTCCATGAGCCTGGACATACTGTGGCTTCTCATTCAAGTGGACACTCCCAGCTTCTCATGCACACCTGTCTCAAACCATCCTCCTTGCCGAACATGGAGCCTGCTGCCAAACAGAGAGAAGACTGCGTACTGACCTCCAGCAAAAGTCTATACAACTGCAGAACTTCTCTCTCTCTTCCTTCCCACTCCCCCTTGAACCCAAGGCTTTTCACTGCTAGGCAAGCATTCTACCTCTAGTTACATCCCCCACTCTGCATAACTTCTCTGTGGTGATGAAATCTCTCAATTCCTTGTTAAAAATCAATGGTACATAATTTGAAGTAGTACAATATCCATTTTATTCTTAAACAGAGGGCTGTTTCTTAAGAACTACCCCATAAAGTCAGTGGTAAAAGACAGACCTATTGTAATGAAGCAACCCTTAAAAGTTATTTGCCCCACCTATTATTTTTATATGCTGGGAAAAAAAGGAAAGAGGAAGAAATCAAGTATGTTCCTAAGGAAAGCAAAATGAAAAACTTGGTCTGTTCTCCCAATACTGGGGGAGGAAATTATTGGGAAGCTGTATTAAATCTTACGTCAACTATTAAATTGTTGTCAGAAGAAAATATCAAAATAATAATACTGGACTGAGAGTCAGAAAGCCTGGATTTAAACCCTGCTTGACCCTACTGTGTGCTCCCAGGGGACTCAGCCCACTCCAATGAAGTGTGCACACTAAACTGAATGGCCACACCCAAATTCCAGGACTGTTATTTCAACTAATCAACCTAAATCTACATTCAAAAGAACTGGGATAAACCAACTCTCGTCATACCCTGCAATAGGAGTCTTCTAAACTCCTATTCTAAACATGCAATTCACATGGTACTGCAATCACCGGAATAATGTACCAAACATGGGACTGTCTACTTCAATTAGAAAGAAAACGAGCTATCCTCACCTGTCAGAATCCTGCACTGAAATGCAATTGACCCCAGCTCTCTCTCTTAAGAAGTGCTCAATGTGGGCAAAGAGGCATGGATAATGTGTAACTTCCTGGTTTGAAAGCTTACTAATTTCGGAGGATGGAATTTCAGCAATTCACCAAAAGCAACTAATTCTTGAGGAACTGCCTATACTTCTCCTTCCTGGAAAAAATGCTGAATATCACAAAATCTTTGCCCCAGTCCCATTGAGGCAATCACAGGAACGTATGGTCCAAGGATCCTTGCTTGTTTTAAAGGTGAGCTATGCATCTGAAGCAAAAGGGCCCCAGGTAGAATCTGCAGCTTGCAGTCCTGCAGGGTTGTGGGTCATACCTTTTGTTTCCCGATATCCACCAGCTCCACGGAGCCCCCCAGCCGCTCAATGTCTGCAGAAGCAGTCTCCATCATCCTTCTGATCTCTCCCCTCTTCTCAGGCCAGGCAGACACACTCTGGATAGCCACCCATTCTGCAAGTTTCTGTTTGTAGAGAGTACGTGAAAACAGGGTTTCTGAAAAGCTGCTGCTTACAGGGAGAATGGGCTAACAGCTGTGCCACGCTTTGGGCACACCGCATTGACATGCTGTGTGTACCTGTTCTACTTTGGACACACTGACTAGATGTAGAGAACAGACCCATCACATTTGCTTTTTTGTAGATTTAAAAAAAAACACATACATCCGAATATGTGTTTTTAACCGTTAAGATGATTTGAATGTAAAACGTACAGAGTCCATAAATAAGTTTCTATCTGAATCTTGCAAAATTGCAACTAAATGATACAGGAAATGACCAAAGTTCTTGTCATCTGAATTAGTTTATCATCTGGACAATAGCCATGTTTTCTAAAGTATAATTTTTAGAAAGAGAATTCTGAAGATTTTGTCTGAAATGTGTCTCAAGAATAACTTAAAAGCATGATTCTTCAAGCTAAAAATCAAGACATAGGTAAGTATATGCATTACTGAGTCACTCAAAACAAGTTTAATGCAAACTAGTTCCTTAATCTGTAACTATCACAGGAAATCACAGATGCAGATTAAAGAAAACTCACAAATTAGCTTTGACATTTCTACAGTCAAAGCTATACCCCCTGCTGATGACATTTCTAGACACGGGTATTAACACTTTCTGACAAATACTAAAAGTGAAAGTTACACTAAAATGAGAAAGCAGATCCCCAGAAATATCTTGAATAGATTTAAATGGCAAAATTCACACTCGCCTCTTCAAAATTTCTCTGACCCCATCCTGCTCACCAGGATGTAATGTTCCCTTACCGTAATGTAGCGGTCCTGGTTTTCATCAATATACTTAAACACAGCAGTGAGGGCCGACATCTTGGAAGCTGACTGAAGACCTTGGAGGTTCTTGGGAGGAGTACAACCGATCAGTCCTGACTGCAGGTAGGGACTGATGGAGACAGCAAAGTGAAGCTTGTTCAAATTCTTAGTTCTAAGTGCTCCTTCACCCTCCCGTCAGCATTGCAACACTCATCACAGGACTCTCCAGGAAGTGACAGAAGAGGCTGAAGATTGCTTTCCGTTCTTTCCAGAGGAAGATTTATACAAAATTGTGTGTCCAACCGCAAACACCTGAGTCGCAGACAATCTGATGAAACTAAAAGTAGGTACTTCCAGTAACACTAATTACTGGGCACTTAAAAAAAGATTTGTTTTACACATTTAAAGTGCAGAGATCTCTCCACTTTCTCTTACCACAGAGGAAATAGGCACTTTAAGGATCTCAGCAAAAATGTCACATGCTGCCTCTACATCCAGAAGTCCACAACACTGCCAGCAGAGCCCCAGGAGAGCCAAATGAGTTCAGTTTAGGAAAGTTAGTCCTTGTTTATGTTCTTTGTAGCTAAAATCACTCAGATGTAATTATCTAAGTCGACCCTTTCACCAAGGACGGTGAACACAGAGACTTTTGAGCTTCCCCACCTAAGCCCCAGGGTTGTGCTCCAAACCACTCCTATTATTAACTGTAAGTCCAGTCCAAACAGGTCAGGCCAGGTTCCACTTTGTCCCTCCCACTCACAGTTCTCCAACTCCCGGTTCCCCCTCCCCCTCCCCCAAAGCCAATAAATGGAACCGCTTTTATGAGCCCTGGTGAACCGGATTTATTAAGGTAAATGCAGTGTGGGTGGATGGAACAAAGCGAACATTCTCCTTTCAAATAAATCACAGCCTTTCTGCCCCTGGAGATGTGAAGTCCCTAGGGGAGGGGAAGCATAGTTTAAATGCAGGCTAGTGAGAGAGAAGGGGCTGGCAGGGTACACACGGATAGTTCTTTAGTTCCCAGTACCTTAAGAATGCAGGGTATATATTAAACAAATGTCGCCATCACGGCTTTGACTCTGTAAAAACCACTCACACAGGGGTAGGAATCTCCCACTTGGCTGTTCGAGAACTCCATTCTGAACTCCTCCCTACAAACATTATCGGTAAGAGGTTCCAGGTCAGGTTCTTCGCCTTATTACACGGAGTCACTAAAAGCAGGTTGACGCTCCCTCTGTAAAGCCCAGGGCCACACCTCCATTTCACAGGCGATGGAAGGAGCGGCCGGCCAACCCACAGGCAACCTGCAGCCAGACGTGCAGGCCCTCGGACGCGGGGGGTGCCTGGGCAAGGCTGGGTCCTCAGCGCGAGGACAGACCAGCGCTCTGCTCCCTGCGACCCCGCCTGCGCCAGATCACCCCGGGGCCTCGACTGGACGCGCTCGGCTGACCCCTCACTCGTGGGACTCGGCGGGGGCGGGCCAGGGCGGCGGGCCCCGGCGGCGGAAGTGGCCCCTCGGGAGCCGCGGGCCCGTCCCAAGGCCTCTGAGTGACTCAGGGCCTCCGAGGCCGACCGCACGCTCCAGAATAGCCTCCATTGTTCCCTCCCTCCCGGCGAAGGCCAGCAGCCCGTTCCTGTAGGAATTAGCGAGACTCCGGGCACTGCCCAGGGCCTCCCATGCCCGGCCGTCTCCCAGGTCCCAGCTGCCCTCCTGCAAAGGCCCCGCCCCGAAAGTCCGCTTACCGCGGCTGGCGCACACCGGTTCCGCACCACGTGTCTTCGGCCACACCCCTCAGCAGTGGGCTCGTCCCGTCCACCAGTCCCAGGCCGGGCCCGGAGGGCTGACGTCACCTCATCCCGCCCCTCGCCGCCCCGCCCATTACTGCCCAGGTTCCTCGGCAAGTCTAGCCTAGCTCCGCCCTTCCCCGACATCGCCCAGCTCCGCCCCGCCCACCGGCCAATCGGGCGGCCTTCCGTAGCCCCGCCCCTCCCTGGCACGGGGCGGGGCGTGGGGCCAGCGCTGTGCTGGGTCCTGGAGCTCGTGGCCTCGTGTCCTGTGGCTGTGCTTCCCCACAGGCGTCCTCGGGCCAGGAGGGCGTGTTAGAACCAGGAAGGAAACTGAAAATCCGAGCAGCAAGCTCCTCTCCCGCTTTCTTTTAGATGTTAGGCTTTAAGAAAACGGGCTGGGGGTGTAGAGCACTGGCCCGGCAAGCACAGGTCCCTAATTCAAACGCGGAGGAGGAGAGGTAGGGGATATAACTGTGCATCATTACAGGTGTAAGTAGTACATGATATATTACATTTTGGTAAAGCATTTTTAGATATTAAAAGTAAAAATTTATTGGAAATACGCCCTTTAATCATGCTTACTAATTTTTAAAAATTAGTTCAATTCTCCATAAGTGAGATTATTGCTCGAATGAGAGAGTTTGGTGAAAAAGGCAGCAAAAAGAAGTGGTTTACAGTAGGATCTGTGGCACACTGTTGCTAGGTTTAAAATTTAATAAGTACATGGTGATAGTTAAACAGAGGAGCTATTTTTTTTTAATTTATTTTATCATTTCTACATGCACTTACATGTGTATACTTTGGGCTACCTCCCCCCACCCCTCCAGATGAGCTATTGACGAAGAAAACAAGGAGGAAGTTTGAGCCCAGGCCAAAATAAAATGAATATGCATTTTCAATAGTTAATCATCTGACAGAAGTTGGTGAAAATGTTTCTCCTATGAATACGAATAAATGATAAGAAAACACAAAATTTATCCTTACCATAGCACCCTTTTATCCGGAAGTATTTTTAGAAGGTAAGTCTTTCAAGGTCCTACCTGGCCAAATGATGCAAATTGCCCCTGACCTTGATTAAGCAGGCATCCTCCAGGGGGCCACACAGCACTTACCACCACACAGTGCTGGCGTTGAGCCGAGGGTGTTGACAGTGCTGGCTTTGAGTAGGGAGGCCCGGCCAGGCCAGGTGCTGTGCACACGTTCCCAGGCCTCTCAGTGCTAGGGGAGAGCCCCTGTGGAATTGGAACAGCCTGAAACTGACTCCTTAAAACTCCCAGTCCTCCTCAAAGGAGGAGGGTTGCAGGCACTGTACCCTGTACCTGTGCCTACACTGCTGGTGAGTAAATGAGCAAGTATTTGAGTGCAGGTTGGCGCCGCCCTGAATCTCCAGCAGGCGGCACTGGACCTCCAATTATTGGGGAAAAGGCGCATTGCAGGTAACTGATCTTAATGTAAGGAGCCAGGTAAATCTGCTTCTCTTCTTCTCTGCTGGACTTGGAGAGAACAGGGCTATCATGGGAGAAAACGAGAGAGGAATGTGGACAGGTGATCAGAGGTTGGGTCTTTGGGAAGAGAAATGGCGTGAGCTTTTCCTGAGAATTTAGGGACTGTTATAGCACTACAGAACTTACTACTGATTCCTGATCCATTTAATCAACAACATAATGTGCTGCAATTGCTGCAGCTTTCAGTTCCCAGCACCAGACAGAATTTAATGTCAAGAATCTCACTGAGTTCTGATAATCATGAAGACAACGGGGTACCCGCCTCTCTGGAAAACAGAATTTTCCTGGAGCAGAAACCACTGTGGAGAGCCTAGTTATTCTCCAGAAGCCTAGTTGTGGAGACCTAGTTGGTGGCTGTATTAAAGAATGGCTGACAAGTGAAGAGGGCAGAGTGTAAGATCAGGAGAGACATCTGCCAATGGGCCCCAGCCTCAGTGACTGGTAAGTTCCTGTCCCCCGATAGCTGGAGTCTCTCTGGCTCTGCGTTCATTAGAATGTAATGCTCTAGCTCCAAATGGTGGCATTAACTCCGACCTGCAGGACCTCACTGGTACCTCCCACAGGCCCCTCAGAAACCAGCAAGCTGCACTTCAGAGACATCGCAGTTGCACTCCAGGTCACTGCAATTAAGTGAACGTTGCAATCAAGCCAGGTCCTTTTTTGGATTCCCAGTGCATATAAGCTAGGTGCACACTGTACTGTAGTTTATTAAACATGCAATAGCATTGTCTTTAAAAATGTACGTGTCTTAATTTCAGAAATACTTCATGCTCAAACATGTTTACTATCGTCTGAATTGTTGGAAAAATGGTGCCAATGGACTTGTTTTATGCATGACTGCCACAAACCATCAATTTAGAAAGAGCACAGTATCTTCAAACTGAGGTATGCCAGCATGTCCAAAGCCAAACACACAGTTTTCCTCATCTCCTGTTACCTGGGTGGAAGGCAGAATTCTAAGATTCCTGGCCTCCTCTTGAGCATGGTGAGCCTGACCTAATCAGGAAATCTCTTTGGACTAGATTCTAGGACAGAGATGGGAAAAGAATCAGAGGCTCCCAGTTGCAGCAGATGGCCTCCTGCTGACCTTGAGGAAAAATGCCATTCTGTGGAAAGGTCAGGAAGCAGGAAATGCAGGTAGCTTCTGGGGACTGGCAGCTTCAGTCATGTGGATTCAGCCAACAAGTGAATGAGTTTAGAAACAGATTGTCCCCTAGTCAAGCTCCCAGCTAAGAACACAGCCTGGCCCATCCTTTGACTGTAACCTGGTGAGATGCTGAGCAGAGATGCCTGACCCACAGAAGCTGAGAGACAAGAGTTGTTTTTTGTTTTGTTTTGTTTTGTCTGATGGGACTGGGGTTTGAACTCAGAGCTTCGCTTCACTTCCAAAGCAGGTGCTCTACAGCTTGAACCACACCTTTGGTCCATTTTGCTCTGGTTATCTTGGAGATGGGGTCCAAGTTATCCTTGAACCACAATTCTCCTGATCCTAGCTTTCCAAGTAGCTGGGATTACAGGCATAAGCCACTAGTACCCAGCTTGTTTTATTCCTTTTTAAAGGTACAGAATATTTAATGGCTTGTCTCTGGAAGATTGTGTGTGTGTTTTGTTTTTTGATTTTTCTAAGCTGATAATTGTAGCTACTAAGCCCGTGTTAAGCTGTGCTGTCTGTAGAAACATCACTAATAAATTCCATTGCCTCATGCTAAATATTTGTGTGTCTGCCCCAACGCCCCACCACAGTCACATGTTGAATCCCTAGTTCCTCTCCAGTCAGATGGTTTTTAGAGCGGGGGCCTTTGGGAGGTCTTTAGGGTTAGATGGAGTCCTGAGGATGGAGGCCCGTGATGGGATTAGTGTATAAGAAAGAAAACAGATGAGAGCCCTCCTGTCCTGTGTCATGAGTGGACACAGCAGGAAAACAGCTGTCTATAAGCCAGAAACCAGGTGCTGGGACACCAAGTCTGCTGGCTTGATGTTGGACTTCTCAGACTCCAGAACTGAGAGAAACAGATGTCTGGTTGTTCAAGCCTCCAGCTTGTGGCATTTCATTATAGTAATCTGTGCTAACTAAGATAAACCATTTATACTTGCTTCTTGGCTGGCTACCTAATTCTCCTTAAATATCAAGTGTTGAATAGAAGTTGCTGTAGTCCAGTGGGAAACCAGGCAATCTTTGAAGGTCCTCTGAACACAGAATGGTTCAGTTTGGGTTTCATCTGGTCAAATTTTAAGTGAGAGTTTAAAGGCTGTGTGGTTGGGGTCTTATATGTTCTCTAGAGTGTACAGATCATTTTAGTAAGAGCCAATCCTATGGGGATAAACAACCTAGATGTGCTGGCTCTCTCTGCCCTCCATCTAGACCAGCCTCACCCAATCCTACAAGCTTTACCCAAGTCTCTGTTTCTTTTTTTTTTTTTTTTCATTTTTCTTTTATTATTCATATGTGCATATAAGGCTTGGTTCATTTCTCCCCCTGCCCCCACCCCCTCCCTTACCACCCAAGTCTCTGTTTCTTAAAAGAAAATCCCCAAACCTTAATGTGACCCTCCTGTGCTATTACCTTACTTATCTCACTCATTCCATTCAAGTCCAGGTTCTCCTACCAGAGGGCTCCACCTTCCCATCCCAGTTCTTTATGTCTGATTTGGTGCCAGTCTCCCATTGCTACACTGAAAGGCTTCTCCTGAGTCACGCAAAGATTCTGGATTTCTCAACCCCTCTGTCACATGTTTCGGTGTCTGTCTTTCTTAACTTCTGCCTAGCCATCCTGCCTGGGTCTAAGGCAGGATAGATCAGGGAAAATGAGGTGTGATAAACAGCAGCCAGGAATTAGAAATAAACACTGTATTCATGAGTAGCTTGGTTAAAGCACACAGGTACCATTTTCCTTACTTAAGCCTTATGCACACCCTCCCCCCCTAAATCTTCAACGTTAAGTAAAAAGAAAAAAAAAAGGTGGGAGGAGCAGCTCTCTCCCTCTGACATTACTGGCTTGCTCAAATAATCAGTGTGGTCTGGCAGTGGAGCAAGGATATCTTAAAGAGAGACACTTAGCCTGGAAAAAAATTAAAAGGTAATAAAAAAAAATACTTGGGAAGTTGAATCATTTGATCACAAAAGTGTTCACAAGGAATGTTTATCTCAAGGATGGACACCTGTCTTAAAGCAAGCATCTGCCAGAACACATCCTTTGCGGAATGGGATGTTTAGACATCTGTGTCATTATGTCCCAAAATTTGGTGTCCTTAAAATCTCTGGGCCCAATTGATAAGATAGTAGGACAGCAAGAATGATGACATATACCACTTGTCCAGAGCAAAAGGGAGTACTCATCCCAGGGTAAATTAGGGTCAAAGTTCCAACAGTTTTCACC